GCACACCCACTACTGGGGATCGTGCCTGAACCCAGGCATGTACCCTGACCAGGAATCAAACCGTGACCTCCTGGTTTATAGGTCGATGCTCAATCACTGAGCCACACCGGCTGACTCCCAAGGGATTTTTAATTTATGCAACACAAACTGTGGTGTGATGAGTCTGGGAGAAGTTCAGCTAGATCCAGGTTCAAATCCTGGCTCCCCCACGAATTAGCTGTGCAGCCTCAAGCAAATGATTCACCATCTGTCTCCCAGCCTAGTGCCCCTCCACGAAAGGGAAATGACACCTACCCCATCAGGTGGTTTGTCCTCAGGATTGATTGAGGTTTGTGTATAAAATGCCAAACCCGTGTCTGGCAGCTGTTGAAAGCTCAAAAAAGGGTAGTTGCTCTAGCTGCTATTTCTCCACAGTGGCCAAGCTCAGACGTTGGCCTCCTGCCAGTCATCTGCTAGAAAATCCAGAAGCTGGGAGCAGTGGCAGCACCAGCATCCCAGTGATCCATTTCCGACTTGAGGACACAGGCACCCATATTGGGGCCTAAAAGGCCAGGGTTAGGGAGCCCAGCTGAGAGCCATCAGTAGAACTGGCCTGTCTCTCCCTAATGCCATTCTATAACCTGTTCTGTAATCTGTATGGATTTCTGTCGTGGCCCAGGTGGCACTTCAGGGCACTGAATTCTCCATGGGACCACAAGTGCCTGAAGGGCAGGGATGGAGTTGTATTCTTCTTTGAAACCTCTGGCACACAGTCGTCAATAGATATTGTTGACCAATAATGGCCCATTGATGTTGGAAGAATAAAGCTGAACAGGCCCCATGAGGAGGCTGTGTGGTCAAGAGCTCAGGCTTTGGAGTTGGCTAGGCCTCGATTTGGATTCTGACTCTACAGTTCATTAACTGAGGGACCTCAGTTTCCTCACCCATAATGGGATGATCACGATTAGTACCAAATGCCTAGGGGAGTGGGGAGGTTTGAAAGAGGAAGTGCAGGCAATGTAGTTAACATAGTGCCTGGCACATAGTTAGGACACAACACACATTAGCTGCTAGCATCACCACTTCTTAGAAATGTCCGGGAAGGCTCCCTGGAGGAAGTGACATTTGAATTGAGTCTTTAAAAGATTAGATGATGGCCCTGGCCAGTGTTCTCAGTGGTTACAGCATTGGCCCACACCCCAAAGGATTGCAGGTTTGATTCCTGGTCAAGGGCCCATACCTGTGTTGTAGGTTCCATCCCCAGCCCTGGTTGGGGCACATGTAGGTGGCAGCCAATCAATGTGTCTCTCTGTGTGTGTCTGTCTCCCTCTCTGTGTCTGTCTGTCTGTCTGTCTGTCTCTCTCTCTCTCTCTCTCTCTCTCTCTCTCTCTCTCTCTGTCTGTCTCTCCCTCCTTCCCTTCCACTCTCTCTAAAAATCAATAGAAAAAAATATCCTCAGGTGAGAATTAACAAAAATAGATAAATAAAAGATTAGATGCTGAATACCTGGCAGTCAAAGACACCTGGGTTCAGAGGCATCCCCAAGAATTCAGTGGTTCGAGAAGGTAGAGAAGGAGGATTGGCACAGCCTAAGAGCCTGTGGGGAAGAGGTCGGCTAGATGGCCAGACCAGGCCAAGCTGGGCAGGGCCCCATGTCCTATGATAAGGACTGTGGACTTTATTCTGCAGGCAAGGAAAGGGCACGGAACTGGGCAGTTGTGTAATCAGGTGCATGTGTCAGAAGAGGGTTATCAGTGGGAAGGAGGGGAAGAGTCACCGAGACAGTAATGCTTGCTGTTCGTGGCTGTTCCCAGAGCGTGCCCGGCATTCCTCAGGAACAGCAAAAGGCCAGTGTGGCTGGAGAAGAGGAAGCAAGGGGCAGAGGAGTGGCTCAGAGAGTCACATGATCTGACTTTCATTTGAACTTCTGCTGTTGTGTGGAGACAAGGTTGGAAGCTGGGAGACCAGGTAGAAGGTCTTCAGAATAATCCAAGTTATCACAGTACTAGAGGCCCGGTGCACGAAATTCGAGCATGGATAGGGCCGGCCTGGGCCTTCCTTCCCCTGGCTGCCATCTGCTGGCCGGGGCCTTCATTCAATCCGCGCTGCCCCCTGGTGGTCAGCACACGTCCAAGCAAGCGGTCGAACTCCCAAGGATATAATTTGCATATTAGCCTTTTATTATATAGGATTTATTCAGATATTCATTGTGCATCTACTATGTGCAGGGACCATTGTAGGCGGGCTCTGGGGACGTGGCTGAGAACCAGACAGAGCCCCCGCTCATTGAGACCCTGGGGCTGTTCCCTCCTGTGGTCCAGGAGACCCAGAAGGTCCTGCTCTGTGGTCTGCTGGAACCGTCAGGTGTCAGAGTGGGCAGGAGCTTCCTCTGAGGGACAGGTGGGCTGCTAGGCCTGGGGAGGGCACGAGACTGCAATACAGCCATTCTGGTGTGACTGTCACAGGGATCCTGATCCCCAGCCTCCACCATGTCCCCCACGCTTCAGCCACCCAGAGGCTCCTGGTTCCTCAAACTGCCTGCCATGCCACTCTTCAGCTCCGAAAGGCCCAAGTCAAGATGAGCCAGGAGCTCCAGGCTTCATGGCCTCTTTCTCCCCGACAGGGAGGCCCCATCTGGCCCCTCCCCAGAACGTGACGCTGCTCTCCCGGAACTTCGGTGTGTACCTCACTTGGCTCCCAGGGCCCGGCAACCCCCAGAACGTGACCTATCGTGTGGCCTATCAGAGGTAAAGGGGAGCCTCCGGGCTGGTGGCTGGGAGGCTGAGGAGGTGGCAGGGGTGGGAGGGGCCTCTTGGGAAAGCTGCTTTCCGTGTGGGCAGCATTTGCCGGCTCTCTGGGTCCCTGGGGAGATGGCACGTGGCAGGTGCTTGGAGAGGGCACTTGATAAAGGTCTGGAGGTGGGAATGGTGCTGAGTGGAGAACAGTGCACAGGTGATAGGCCTGCCAGGGGTGAGGGTGGATCTTTGAGAAAAGTCGGAGCAGGGCTTGGGTGGAGCCATGAGGGCCAGCGATGGAATTCGTGGGGGCCTGGATTCAGGGCTTGGGGTTGTTCGGGCAGATGAGGGAGGGCAAGTGGGTCTCCTGCAGAGCCCGTGCTGGGCATCAGTAGATGATCACCCTTTTCCCCACGGAACCTGCACGCAGCCTCCTTGCCGGCGTCCTTCCCAACTTGGCAGGCCAGGCAGCCACTACCCACCCAGAGGTACCTGAAAATGCCAACGGCTTCACCTTCTCTGCACACACACGGGAATCATGGGAGGGTCTCTAGTGGGAGAGTAAGCTGATAAAGCACACGCTCAGGAGGATGGATCTAGAATCAGTGAGGAGGAGGACGCAGGAAGGGGAGCAAGCTGCCCTGGACTCAGGACCCCTTCCGCCTGCCGGGCTGAGCCTCGCATGAGTATTTCGCTTCTTCCTCCCAGTATCACCAGGCAGGCGCTGGGCTTCCCCATTGTAGTGGTGAGGAAGCTGGCGATGGAGCCAGAAGAAAATCCCAATCCTGTCTGACCCCAGAGTTTGTGCTCTTCCTATTCCGTCGCCATCCCTCTACCCATAGCACCCAGGCGGGAGTGACAGGGGCCTGGCTTGGAGGACAGGCTGCAAGAGAGCTTTCAAAAGAAGGAACTGTGTCGAACTGTATCAGGAGGCAGAGAGCACCTCACATGTACTGTGTGTGTGTGTGTGTGTGTGTGTGTGTGTGTGTGTGTGTGCTGTTAGGTCCGCCCTGAGGCAATGCATTACCGTATTTAATCTCGCACGGTCCTTTGAGGAAGGAGGCAGTGGCTCCCCTCTGCAGTTGAGGAGACTGAGGCACCATGAGTGCCTTTTGCTCAGGGTCACACGGCTGGAAATAGTGGGGCAGGATACATGGATTAAAGAGCTCCAAGGCCACCCTCTGGACCTTTACAATAGTGTCCTTCTCGTTTACACTGTTTAAACACCTGCGAGAATTGCAAAATGGTACTATTCTAATGGTACTATTTTTTATTTTGTAGTGGGAATTATTTTATAAAGAGATGCTTTCTTTATAGTATTTGCTCTTCAGAGGTACTTTTCAAATCGGCAAGAACAGGATCCATGCTTGATTTTTTCCCCCCTTTTATTTGCCAGTTTTCAAGATAATGATTTGGTTCTCTGTCACCTCCCAAATGGTGATTGATTCATTTATCTTTTTATTATTATTATGAACTCAAGTATTTGAAGGTGTCCGATGGTTTCAATCTGTTGCAACTTATTCTCCTCGGTGAAGCTGGAATTGTCCCGTCTTTGGCCAGCGAACGGCTCTTCAAGTCGGCTCCTGAGTCCTTTGGACTTGACCCAGTTGACTTTGACATCTTTTATCGTTATGACAAGATGTTCCAGGCTCGTTTGCACAATTCCTAACCTAAAGCCTGAAATCAGTCACAACCAAGCCCTCTTTATCAAAAGATTTTCAGCCCCACTCTTGGTATTCTCTCCAGAATGTGCTTTCTCGCTTCCTGCAACCTGCATACGCTGAGAATTTTTCAAATCTTCAATTTTTAACAGTTTCTTCTATTTATGGCTCTTCTCTCTCCTCATTTTACTCTAAGCAGAAAGGAGAAACCAGATTACATCTCTAACACTTTACATTGAAATCTCCTCAGCTAAATACCCAAGTTCATCACTTTTAACTTCTACTTTCCGAAAAACACTAGAACGAGATTCAACCATGCTCTTTGCCTCTCTCTCTCTCTCTTTTTGTTTTTTCTACATGGGGATTTCTACAGGCTTTTGATCCAAACTAGTTATTTATAAAAAGACATGTAAGGGACAGTGGGGAAATCTGAACCCAGACTGAATACTGACATTATGGAATGTTTAGTAATTTTCATAGGTGGATGACAGTTCTGTGGTTTGCAATTCTTTGCCTCTTTATACCAAGGATCACCTTCCCTTCAGTTTCCAATAAGACGTTCCTCCTTCCCACCTGAGATCTCCCCAGAATCACCTGGAACATCCACATTCCTACCAACAGTCTTTTCAAGGCAGTCTTGGCTTTTTCCAATGTGCACCTCAAAACTCTTCCAGCCTCTACCCATGACCCAATTGCAAAACCACTTCCACATTTTTCACTATTTGTTACATTAGCACCCCACTATGGTACCGAAATCTGAGTGCGTTTAACTTAGTTTGCTGGGGCTGCCATAACAAAATATCATAAACTGGGGTGAGGGTGAGGCTTAAACAACAGAAATTCGGAAATTCGTGTCTCACAGTTCCGGAGGCTGGCAGTCCAAGATCAAGATGCTGGTGTGTCTGCTTTCTCCTGAGGCCTCTCTCCTCGGCTTGCAGGTGGCCACCTCCCCACCTGGCCTTTCCTCTGTGTGCAAGCATCCCTGAGGCCCCTCCCTCTTCGTTTAAGAATACCAGTCTTCCTGACTTAGGACCCCAACCTTATGAACCAATTTAACATTAATACCATCTTTAAAGGGCCTATTTCCAAATACAGTAGCCTCACCTTATTTGTGGTTTTGCTTTCTGGTGGTTATTTAATGGAAAATTCCAAAAATAAACAATTCCTAAGTGTTCAATAGCATGCCATTCTGAGGAGCGTGATGAAATCTGGCACCATCCCACTCCATTCCAGGACATGAATCACCCCCTGATCCAGCATCTCCATGCTGTATACGCTACCCACCTCTTAATCACTTAGTGACCATCACAATTATCAGTTTGGTTATCAGAGCTAGAGAGACCACATTCACATAACTTTTATTATCATGTATTGTTATAGTTGTCTTACTTTATTACTAGTTATTGTTACTCTCTTACTGTTCCTAATTTGTAAGTTAAACTTTATCAAAGATATGTATGTATAGGAAAAAAGACATACATAGGGTTTGATACTATCAGCAGTTTCAGGCATCTACTGGGGGTCTTGGAACATATCCCCCTCAGATAAGGGGGGACTACTATATAGGCACGTTGTGGGTTAGGGCTTCAACAGTGTGGCTTAAGCAGTTTGTTCAGTTTGTTCGATACATGTTCATTAGACCAACTTCCATAATTATTTTGTTCAGTTTTTTCTATTTTTTCATTATCTTTGTTCAATTGTTAATTACTGAGTTAGTTGTATTAAATTTTTTTTCTCATTATAATTATGGGTTTTCTGTTTCTTCCTGTAGTTTGTCTATTTTTGCTCCACAATATATCCTGAATTAACCCCTTCTCGCCAAGTCTACCACCATTCAGTGATCTCTCGGATCAGGGCTGCAGCCTCCTCGCTGGCGTACCAGTAATCTTCTAAAAGCATAAATTAGATCAGTCCCCTATTCAGAACTTTCCCGTGGCTTCCGATCACACTTGCAATAAAATCCAGACTCCTTACCAAGACGGCGAGGCCACCTGCTCTGCCCAGCCCCCTCTCCACCCTCCTCCCCAGTCTGTGCACAGCTTCCTCCTCCCTGGTCCACTGGGTTTCGGCCACGCTGGCCTCCTTGCTCTTGTCTGGATCCTTCCTATCGCAGGGCATTTACTTTTGCTGACCCTTCCCCGGGCCTTCACCTGATGCCCTTCCTGTTGTTGTGGCCTCAGCTGTTCTGAGCCACCTTTAGAAAGCAGCCACTCCCACGTGACCCTGTTGTCACTGCCTTTACCAGGATTTATCTTGTTAATGTGATGGGGATCTCTCATCTCCTCCCACCAGCGTTTGTTCCCGAGGGCCTTGTCTGTCATGCACTGCTCCTTCCCCAGGAAGAATGCCCGGAGCTCAGGTCCCTTCTGTGGACCTCAGCGTTCTCAGGAGGTTGGAGTCGTGGGCCTGCGTGTCCCCCTCTGACATCCACACAGCCCCCAGCAGGTGCCTGGCACACGGCAGGTGGTCGGTCCATAAGTGCCTGAACGAATAAACGTGGAAAATTGTTACTGGTACAGCAATAGCAGCCACCATGACACACGACGGGAGGAGCCTGGGGCTCGGGGCTGTTGCCTGCACAGGGGCCCAGAGCTGGTGAGGGCCGGAGCCACAGTCCCCACCCACGTGTGTCTCTCCAGAGCCTGAGCTGGAGAGATGGACAGACGGAGGACAGATGGGTGGATGCATGGGTGAGAGATGAGTGATCACTTGTTCTGTAAGTCCCCGGGTCCCAGGCAGGTGAGTCCATGGCCCAATGCTCCCCTGTCTGTTTCCTCCCTCAGCTTCCTAGCAGCCCCTGAACGGTGGCGAAAAGTGGAAAAGTGTGCAAGAACCAAGGAGCTGACGTGTTCTCTGATGTGCCTGGAGAAGCAGGACCTGTTCAACAAGTTCAAAGGCCGTGTGCGGGCGGTCTCTCCCAGCGCCAAGTCCCCCTGGGTGGAGTCCAAGTACCTGGAGTACCTTTTTGAAGGTAGGTCTGTGGGTAAGGGACTGAGTGGAAGGTTCTCTGTCCAAGAACTTGGCTCAGTGCCACTGCTGTGCAACCGTCTGTCTCCCACTTCCCCGACGCAGAGAGCATGTCCTGTCGGGCAGCGCCCTGGCCGCGGCCCGGGTCCAAGCAGCCTGATTTCATGGCAGGGGGTTAGGGGAGTACCACGACGCCACAGTTCAGCTGGTACCTCCTACTATGATATTTATGATCTTCTATGGAGCACAGCCTTGATCATGAACCATACAGGCATTTATTATACTAGAAGGAAGCAAGTGTGGATAGAGAGAGGGAGGACAGGAAGGAAAGGCAGATGGGTGCATCAGTGGTTAGCACAGAAGCAAGGCTGGAAGGAAGGGGAGGGAGAGGAGAAGTGAACAAACGAAGGAAGGAAAATCAAGAAGGAAAGATATAGGGGGAGGAAAGAAGGATGGATGGGTGAGTGGAAAAGTAGGCTGATTGGCTAGAAAGGATGGATGGGAAGGAAGGAATGTTGGCTGGGAAGGAAAGATGTGGAGGCAGGTGCAGGGGCTGTTCTGCTAGAACAGTGGTTCTCAACCTAGACTGCACATAAGATTCCCAGGTGATTCTAATGTGCAGCCAAGGTTGAGAACCACTGAGCTAGAAGAACGATGGATGAACCACTGAATGGTTAGATAGATAGAAATGGAGGGAACGATTCAGAGAGGCGATGGCCTTTTTTTTTAAAGTTACTTTTTTGCCTCCTCCTCCCTGAAGCACTCCTGATTTTCCTTCAGCACACCCGAAGCCCGAATGACCCTACCTGCCCTGTTCTGCCCTCCGCTGTGGCCCTGGTCACTTTCTCTCTTCAGTTTTGGTAGTTTTCATATTTCATTTCCCCCTCATTTCTTTCAGTTCCTGCAGGGCAGGATCCATGGAGGCCTCATCTCCCTATTACCCTCAGCTCCTTGCCCAGAGCATAGTACATAGTCACTATACCTAGACTCTGACCTGCAGCACTGTGAGATAATGGATGTGGGTTGTTTTAAGCCACTAAGTGTGTGGTGCTGTGTTAGAGCAGCCATAGGAAACTGATACGCAAGGGCCGGATTCTGGCAAGCTAGTGGGTATGTGAGGGTACAAGGGACAACATGAATAAAGGCAGGTTAACTGAGCTTGGCCTGGTCATTTCACCTCTCTAAGCCTCAGTTTCCCCTTCTTTAAAATGGGACTCATGCTATCCCCTCCGGGGCTTAAATAAAATGGCCCGGAGGCTCCTGATTCCCGGTTCCCCTTTCCAGGACAGCTCTCGGGCTGGGCGAGGAGCAGGCTCACCTGGAGGGGGGCAGTGGGCGCACCGTGGCCCCAGAGGGTACTGACAAGTCCTGTTCTGTTTCTGCAGTGGAGCCAGCCCCACCCGTCCTGGTAGTCACTCAGACAGAGGAGGTCCTGAAGGTCAATGCTACCTACCAGCTGCCCCCCTGCATGCCCCCATCGGATCTGAAGTATGAGGTGGATTTCTGGAAGGAGGGGACTGGGAACAAGGTGGGAAGCCCCTTTCCTGCCCCCTACTTGTGCCCCCTTCCTCCCTGGCCCTACCAAACCTCGGTGTCCTCACCCTCCCAGCCTCCTACCTGCACACCTCCTCCAGGAAGCCTTCCTACGTACCCTCACCTTGGCATATCCCTGCCCTTCTCCACCTAAGAGGCCAAGTACAGGGCATCCTGTCCCTGTGCCTTATAGGTGCTAACAGCACAGGCATTTTCTAACTAATATATTTTTTAAATTATGAAACCTGTTGGGGTTTGTTTTTGTTTTTTTTACAATAAAATCTGATTGAACTATGGTGAGCTACAGGAGGCCTGCTTGCCCAGTCACTGGATTCATTATAGAAAAGTCAGAAAATACACATGAGCTCTACAGGGAAAACCGAAAGTATCAGAGATGACCACAAATAAGTCTTTGGTATCTATCCAGTTTCAGACTTGTTTTCTGTGGGTGCACGTGTGTCTGTCTGTCTGTCTGTATTTATTTATGGCAGGGTCGGCAAACTTTTTTTGTAAAGGGCCAGATCTAAACATTTGTGGCTTTGCAGACCCTGTAGCCCAGCGGTCGTCAACCTTTCGGACCTCGCGGACCACCAGTTGGCGACCGCTGCTATAGTCTGTCACCGCTACGTGGCTCTGCATCTGTAACTACACAAAAGGAACCAGAGACAATATGTAAATGCACAGGCTTAGGTGGTTTCCAGTGTAACTTTTTAAAAAGCTGGCAGCCAGGTCTGCCCACAGGCTGTATAGTTGACTGACTCCATCCTTACTCAGTTTTTCTTTCACTGAACCAACAGTCACACTCCTGGCCTCCTGCGTCCTCTGGTTCCCAGGATGTACTCCACTTGATGTGGTCCATGCCTTCAAGAACCTTACAAATACCCTAGACCAGTGGCCGGCAAACCGCGGCTCGCGAGCCACATGCGGCTCTTTGGCCCCTTGAGTGTGGCTCTTCCACAAAATACCACGTGCGGGCGCGCACGTACAGTGCGATTGAAACTTCGTGGGCCCTGCGCAGAAGTCGGTTATCGGAAAGGAGATAGACGAAACAAGTATACAAGACGAGTGTGGATGGGAGAGTTGGAAGGGGTCGACCTCAGCGAACGTACCTCAATCAGATTGAGGACGTTTTTAGCATAGACCAGCTTAGGAATAACCTAATTAAGTTAATAACAATGTACCTACCTATATAGTTTAAGTTTAAAAAATTTGGCTCTCAAAAGAAATTTCAATCGTTGTACTGTTGATATTTGGCTCTGTTGACTAATGAGTTTGCCGACCACTGCCCTAGACCAGTGCTCTCCAATAGAAATGTAATGCAGCCCTGGCCGGTGTGGCTCAGGTGGTTGGGCATCATCCCGTGCACCAAAAGGTCGCCAGTTCAATTCCTGTCAGGCCACATGTCTGGATTATGGGCTCTATCCCTGGTAGAGGGTGTGCAGGAGGCAGCCCATAGATGTTCCACTCTCGCATTGATGTCTCTCTCTCTCTCTCTCTCTCTCTCTCTCTCTCTCTTCCTCTCCCTCTCCCCTATCTCAAAAATCAATAAAAATATTTTTTTAAAAGAAATGTAATGCAAGCCTAATGTGTAATTTTAAATGTTCCTTGTTAAACTAAATAAAAAGAAACAGGTGAATTTAATTTTCATAATATACTTTAATTCATCCAATAGAATGTTATCGTTTCAACATGTAATTAATATAAAAGTTATTGAGATACAGTGGGGCCTTGACTTACGAGTGTCCCGACTAACGAGTTTTTTGAGATACCAGCTGTCTCTTGGCCGATTTTTTGCATTGAGTTGATAGAGTAATTTGAGTTAACGAGCTCCTTAACGAGCTCGGTCTCAGAACGAATTAAACTCGTAAGTCAAGGCCCCACTGTATTTGACATTCTTCTTCTCTTAGTCTTGGAAAGCCGATGTGTATTTTATACTCAGAGTCCATCCCAGTTTGGACTGGCCACACTTCAGGTGCTCAGGAGCCACATGTGGCCAGTGGCTACTGCAGTGGATGGGCACTCAAGAGTTTTCTGTGTCTGTGATGGCAGAATGATGCCCCCTAAATAAGTTGGGATGCCCTTGGGGCAGGAAGTCTGAGGGATATGCCCCTCAAAGTGAAGGCCAGCAGTCCCTGGGCAGGGGGCTGGGGCTCGGGGGCAGGGAGTGACCCTGAATGGCAGGGGTGCTTTTGAACCCAGACCATCTCTACCTCAAAACTCAGCAGAAAAGAAGCCAGATAGTTCTGGGAAGTGCTTCTTGAACACTTGAACTTGATTGCAGGAAAAGAAGTTGCAGGATCCCAGCTGCCAACCCCACCCCATCCTGGCTGTGCAGAGCCGGTTCCCACAACAGGTCTGCTCACCTCTGCTTCTTTCTCCAAACAGACACGATTTCCAGCCACTTCCCATGGCCAGCCAGTCCAGATCCCCCTCCAGGCGGATGCCAGTGGATACCACTGCCTCAGCGCCAGAACCATCTACACCTGCGGTGACCCTAAATACAGCGAGTTCTCCAAGCCCACCTGCTTCTCCCTGGGGACCCCAGGTGGGTGCAACGTGGTACAGCCTCGAGGACTTTCCCTGAGCGTCAGGATCTTCATAATGTGGTGGTTAGGAGCATGTGTCTAGAGACAGGCTCACCTCGATTAAAACCCCGGCCCTACCACACTCACTGTGTGTCTTTGGGCAGCTTCCCTAACCTCTCTGAATCTTGGTTTCTGCAATTGGGAGCATGGGTTTATTCTTATGAGGACTGAGACTAGGATGAGGTATGAAAAAATAAATAAATAGGATTGTGTATGTACGTGAAGCCCCCAGGATGGATGCAGTCAGTAAACCGGAGCCGTTGTTGCTTCTTCATTCTGATTATTTTCCTAGGAGTCCACTGGGCATTCCTGGTGCTGCTACCACTTCTGCTGCCGCTGCTGTTGGTTACTGCCACGGGCTGTGTGATCTGGAGGAGCTTCAGAGGGAACCCCTGGTTTCAGCGGGCAAAGATGCCACAGGCTCTGGTACGGCACATCTGGGGATGTGCACCTGAGGGGGAGGGTTGTTGAAGAGCAAGGGAGTGGGGCTAGACTTAGCGGTAGTTCAGACGGATGAGCAAGGTGGCCCAGACTGCAGAACATCCTTCCTTTGCATCTAAATTTCCACTATTAGTAATTCATTCCTTTGGCACCAAATTCAAATACCTGGGAGGGAGAAGTGCCTACAGTCCCTGTGAGTTAAGTAATTGCATCTCTGCTCAGGATTTGTCAGGTGCCAAGAGCAGAACCCCCAGCCTTGAGATTCAGGAGAGATGCCCAAAAAGGGGGGGGGAGGTGTCAAAAGGGCAAGACTTAGAAGGGTCCCAACACCTAGTTCACAGTCTACCCCAGGTGGGTCTGGCCCAGGCCGACCCTGGAGTCCCCTCACTGTCTGCTGGCTCACTCCCTTTGCATGTGGAGGCCACGGAGGCAGGGGAAGCCTGGAGAGGTCAGGTGGGTCGGACTCATGGGGGAAACTGGGCCATAGCTGAGGCTCAGTGGGCACTGGGCTGGTGGGAGCTTTGAGGATGAATTCTGAGTGTCCCTACCATGTGGGAGAGACTATTTTTTTAATCCTCACCTGAGGAATAAGGATATTTTCCTATTGATTTTTAGAGAGAGTGGAAGGGAGGGAGTAGGGAGAAAGAGAGAGACAGCAACATCGATGTGAGAGAGACACATCAATTGGTTGCCTCCCACATGTGCCCTGACTAGGGGTGGGGATCGAACCTGCAACCCAGGTACGTGCCCTCACCAGGAATTGCACCTGCAACTCTCCGGTGTGCAAGCCAATGCTCTAACCACTGAGCCATGCCGACCGGAGCAGGGAGGGAGTATTTCTAAAGTTCCTTCCAGCAGCTAGCACCTGCGTCTTGGGGGCTGTCTCTCGCCTCTGGTGTCTACTCAGCCCATGCACGTGGCTGGCTGCAAGTGCCAGGGAGGTGGCACTGCCTCCACCCCTCCCACCCTCACCTCATGGCACTGCACTGGCTGCCTGAGTCCCAGCAGGGTTAAGCTGCAGCTGCCTTAGATGTCACTTGCCTGATAACACCCATCGTTATCCCACCCCTGTCTCTCATGTTCACTCCCTGTTGGCCTTTCCTGGGATCTCTTCCCAGAGAAACAATGTCCATGGGCATCCTTGTCTCAGGGTCCATCCCGGTTAGAGCAGTCATGCTTCGGGAAAGCCTGACCTTCTGCTCTTGTCTCCCCTCCCCCAAATCAGGACTTTTCTGGACACAGATACCCCGTGGCAACCTTTCAGCCCAGTGGCCCAGAGTCACTGGAGGACTTGACCCTCTGTCCCCAAAAGGAGCTGACCAGAAGGGTCAGACTGACCCCTAGAGTCAGGGCCCCAGCCACCATTCAGGCCGGATCAGAGGACGACGATGACGAGGAGGACGACGCAGACGCCAATGTCACCGTCCAGCCCTACATTGTGCCCCGTGGTTTCCTGGAGCAGGAGCCCCAGACCCCCGGGCACTCGGAGGCAGGGGTCCAGGTCGAAGGCTGTCCTGCTTGCGATGCTTCAGACGGAAGCTGGGCCAGCACTGGCGGCTCCTCCCTCCTGGAGGAGGCCGGGTCCTCTGGCTATTTGGCCAAGAAGGGGCCAGACCGAGGGCTGGGTAGGAGCAGGTGTCCGGAGCCTCTCCCAGTCCCCGAATTCTCCAAGGACTTGGGTTCCCTGGAAGAGCTCCAGAGAAACAGCATCTCCTGGGCCAGCTGGGGCTCCTCACCGAGGCCGGATCTGGTCCCCGGGGAGCCTCCAGTTTCTCTTCGGACACTGACCGTCGCCTGGGACAGCAATGCCGAGGAGGAGGAGGAGGAGGAGGAGGAGGAAGAGGATGGAGAGGAATCAGAAACTGAGGACAGTGGTGCTGGAAGCTGGGGGGCCAACAGCCTCCAGAGGACTGGAGCCAGGAGTAGGACGCTGGGGCATTACATGGCCAGGTGAGCTTCCTGCCAAATCCGGTGCTACTGAGCTTCCCAGGGGCCCAAGACGCCACAGAGACTTGAGGCCTGGGAGCATGGTCCTGGGGCAGCCATGGTTCTTGCAGCGCTTCCAGAACCCCAGCTAGAGGCTGTCAGTCGGCTTGAGCAGTAAGACCCACCCCATCCTGTGGCCCACCCGCCCTGGGCTGAGCCACAAGAGGACTAGAGAAAAGGATGGGCTCAGGTCAGGTCACCCCACTGTCTCTGGACAACACGAAACAGGTGAGACCAGGTCACTGGCATCAGGGCTGACACCACCAGGGCCATCTGGGCTCGAAGAGGACATTCGGAGGCTCGGCTGTGTCAGAGCCTCCTGCCTTCCTCCCCAAGGCTTGGCCTCCTGACTCATGAGTCCCCCCGGGGCGGGCCCCCAAGAGGAAAAGTCTAGTTAGCAGAGGGTGCTGGAGGGGAAGGGAAAGGGCGGCCGTCATTCACATCCCAGGCTCCAGCTGGGGAGAATGCTCTAGGCTTACCGTCAGGCAGACCAGGGTCCAGATCCCGGTTCTGCCACTTCCTGATTGTGTGACCTTGAGTAAGCCGCTCTTCTCCTGGGTTCCTCATCTACGACTCCCACCTGGGGTGTGTGTGTGGGGGGGGGGGGGGGGGGGTCCTGAGAGCGAGGTGTGCGACGCGGTGGCGCTTTCTTCTCGGTGGCAGGGTGGACTCCCCATCTGCCCAGGCTCTGAGGAGACCTCTGGGCACCTCCCACCTGTGACCCTTGGACTCGGAGCACCTGGGAGCATTCACCTCTTAGCTTGTCCAACCTCTCATCTACCTCATGTCTTCCACCTTCACGGTCTCCACCGTCAGGGAATGGAGTTCTCAGAAGCCAGAAGCCAGCCAAGGGGGACCTCCCTCTGCCCAGTAAAAAGCCAAGTGGTCCATCTTCCAGGGGGTCTGATTTGTTGGGGTGGGGCAGCAGCCTGGCAGGGGGTTGGCCTCGTGGGCTGTGATCCCTGTTGCGGACAGCACTTTGGTGACCATTGTGGTTATAACAAGTCCCATCTTCCTGCTAGTTATGGGAGAACCTTCTGGAAACAGGTTGTTACTGGTTGTGGTGGGTGTTCACTCTCTTAACCGACACCCACCAGTATATGGATGAGCATGGCTGAGGATTCACCCAGAGGGAACAAGATTTTGTTAGAAGAAGCTGAAATGTTGGCTTACTGCGTTTGTCCCCAAGGGTGAGATCTTTGGGGTCTGGCCAGCTGGTCCAACCCCTGTTATCTTGGCCATGTCGGCAAAGTGCTGAGGTCACAGCCAGGATTTCCAAGGGGCCCGAAGCTGGCAGGAGGCCTTCACTGCTGGGACTCGCCCACATACACACACGCGTGCACACGTGTGTGCATTTCTGTGGGGTGGAAGCTTGTCCACCGCGCTGAGCACAGAGCGGGGAGAGTAAACTGAAGCCCTGTTGCTGGGCGAGGCTGGACTCAGGGCCAGGTCCCAGACAAATGCCCAGACTAAGGCGGACGTTCTTTCTGATTCACTGATCCGATCCCCGGCTTCCCCTAATCTGCTGCGTGTTCCTTCCAGCATGTTCTTTATTAGCGCTCTGTCATTCTTTATTTCCGACTGGTCTTTTTCCGTAGTTACCATATCCTTTCTCATGCTGTTGAGCATCTTTGCCATCATTATTCTAAACTCTATATCTGATACATTTCTTATCTCCGTTTCGTTTCGCTCTTCTGGAGAATGCTCTTGTTCTTTCATTTGGGGGTTGATTTTTTTGTCTCCCCATTTTGGCTGCCTGTTTGGGTTTGTGTCTGTGTATTAGGTAGATCTGCTATGACAGTGTCAGACGCTGTTTCCGACTGGCCCTGAGTCCCGTTTGGAGCTATCAGCAATCCACAGCCTGTGGCTCCCCCTGCTGGGGCCGGCGCCTTTGGAAAGGGACCGAGATGTGCACCAGGGCCTGCTTTTCCTGGCCCCGGGCCCCGAAGGAGATCAGGCAAAGACTCAAAGCCTCCGACATCCTCCTCCGTCTGCAGTCTGATTGTTATTCTCAGAGTCTTAAGAGGGTGCCTGCATTTCCAGCCGCCTTTCACAGCCAGGTGTTATATGGGCACCTTTCTCAGTTCAGGTGCTCTGGGCTGGGGAGCCCAGCTTGGGGCTTAGACCCCAGCGTTCTCAGGGGGAGCCCCCCACAGCTGAGACATCCCCCCGGAACTTCAGCTGCTGTCTGTGGGCGCCCGGCCAGCCCTCTCGCTTCTCCGCCCCTCCTGTCACTCTCTATGCGGTCTCTACTTTCTGTCCTTGGTTTTTCTGTAGTTTAGTTATATTTCCAGTTTGGCCCACTTACTCCACCACCGTTTTTAATCTCCGATCAATTCTGATGTTCTTCCAACCCAGTGGAGCCGCTTCATGAAGGAAAACTTCATGAAGTGTTTTGTTTTTTTAAAAAAACTAAGAGCTATGATCACTCTGGTGTAGGAATTACTTTATCTCCATTATTAAACCTTGTTTTTTAAGCTTTTTTTTTCTCAAAGTTTAATTTCAGAGATAAGCTGAGTTTTTTAGTAATTCTAAATGTCAGCTCCTTTTAGTCATTAAATCATTAAAAACTGTGGGAACCATTAGGAAAGAGCATGATAAACAATATACTAACCTGTCAGGTGTGCTCAGCACTTCACGGTTTGCAAAGCCCTTTCCCATACACAGTCCAGGGCCTCGCTCAAGGGGCAGCAGCCAAAGAACGCCGACGCCTCAGGTGAAAGCAGCATTACCATCCTTCAGAGCACAGTGACTTATTTAAAAGTATATATTGACCATGTCATTCATTTTTTAAAAAATATATTTTTATTGATTTCAGAGAGGAAGGAAGAGGCAGGGAGAGAGTAACATCAATGATGAGAGAGAATCATTGATTGGCTGCCTCCTGCACGCCCCCTACTGGGGATCGAGCCTGCAACCTGGCATGTGCCCTGACCAGGAATCAACTGTGACCTCCTGGTTCATGGGTTGACATGCCAGCCTTGGCTCTTGAAGGAGTGAATCCCCCAAAACTTCAGTCATACCTCAGAATCCGTGGGGGATTGGTTCCAGGACACCCCCCCCACACACACACACACACGGATACTAAAATCCACACATGTTCTAACCCCTTATAATAAATGGCGTAGAACAGTGCATATAGTCAGCCCTCCGCATCTGTGAATTCCCAACCATGTTCTAATCCCTTATAATAAATGGTGTAGAACAGTGCATATAGTCAGCCCTCCGCATCTGTGAATTCCCAACCATGTTCTAATCCCTTATAATAAATGGTGTAGAACAGTGCATATAGTCGGCCCTCTGCATCCGTGAATTCCCAACCATGGATCGAAAATATTGTTTTCCGTCCAGGTTTGGTTGAATCTGTGGTTGCAAAACCCAGGGATACGGAGGGCTGATTGTATGCAGGGGTGGGCAAAAGTAGGTTTACTGTGGCAATGCAATAAATAATAATACAAGAACAAATTCTGTGTTTTGCGGACTCACAATTGTATTTATTGGGAAAAAAAAATCTGTGTAAATGGACCCGTGCTGTTCAAAATTGTGTTGTTCAAGGGTCACCTGTACTGAGCTTATATATTATTCTCAGATTTTTGTATTTATTTCTAATTTTCTATGTTTATATCATATTTAAATAACATCTTAATGCTTTTTAGTATCCTGTTTTAAATAAAGAGCTCTATTTTTTGGAGAAAAAGGCAGAATTGAGTAGAAAAACGTGTGCTCTTATTTCTCAAAGGCTCCTCATCTAGCTGTTTGGACTACAAGGGTCATGGGTTGGGTCCCCAGCCGCTGACCCAGAGACCAAGATTTCGGGGTACAAAGCTCTGCTGTCATCCCAGAAAGCATCATTAGGGGTGGTGGGAAGCCAGACAGAGGAAGGGCAGCCAGTCCTGGTGTATAATCCAATAGGTCCCTGCCCCGGGCCACTGGGGCCCAGTCCCCCTGAGGTGGGGTGGGAGTTCAGTGTGCGCCCTGCAGGTCTGTCTGCCAGGGGCAGGAGCTGGGGAATTTATCTACAGACTCCCTCCCGCAGAGTTGCAGGTACTTGCAGTTGGAATCCATCAAGGTGGGTGCACGAGAAAGGTGAATGCCATGGGGGAGGGGGGGGACACCCACATCACCTGCTACAGTGAGGCCGGAGCTGTGCCCACACCCTCGCAGCTCACCCTGTGGCAACTCTGGTCCATGGAAGAATACAGAACAGCCTCAGCAGATGGCTGATGAGGTTCTCCCGGCCTCCAGCCCTTCTGTCAGGCCACCTGTAACTGCCCGGCACGGTCTTACAGGTTGTCACCTTTTACAGGCGCTAGACCCAAGCTGGGCTGGCCCTGGAACAGGCTCCAGCCTACTGCTGCCCCACTTTCCATTCCGAGAAACGGGAAAATCCAGTGTGCAGAAGAGACAAGAATGAGGCCGCCACGCCAGCTGCTGAGATGAGATGATAAGCCCTGGTTCTGATCCATTCCTGCGGCCCAGTGGCAGCCCCGTCCGTTCTCATCGGCCTCCCTGCCTCCTAGTGTTAAGCCATCTCCCAGGACCTTCTATGACTGACAACCAAACACCTTTGCCAATTAACATTACATGCATTTTGCAGCTTGTGTTCTTGTTGGGGCATTGCCCCCTTGAATGGATGCGCGCGCAGTAGGTCCTTTCCAGAAAACAGGGCAGAGCTTCCTCTTCAGGTGACCCCCACCTGCCTCCCCCCTGCCCTCTGATCCAGGTCACCTTTGAGCTTCTCTGGGCCTGTTGGTGGCCAGCTGCTGGTCAGCGAGGCGGGCAAGGGCTGCCGATTGCACAGGGCAGCTGGGAGAGGGGAGGTTTGGGTAATGGATGTCACATCCTGAGAACTCCTTTAGGAAGGGACTGTTTTGCTCCTGGCACAGCACCTGGCCTGGGTGGAAGCTTGGGAAGGAAGGAAGGAAGAGAGGGAGGAAGGGAGAGAGGGAGGGAGGGAAGGAGAGAGGGACTATGAATTGGAGTCCCTAAGGAGCTGGCCATGGCTAACTTACATTGCTATATCACTAACTGGAATGATAAGAGGGCCAGAGATCTTGCATGAGATGATCCCATCCCAGATCTCAGATTCCTGTTGCATGTGGATGACTGCTCTTCCTCAGCCCGGCTTCTGGTGCGAGGTGAGGGGATCAGTGCTGCTCAGGGAGGAACATGGTGAGGGAGGGGGCAGGAGTGGGACAGCATCTAATCCCCTGACGTAACTCTGTTTCCCGTTTGATTTAGCACTTGGTCGATGGCTGCTTGCTTCCCTCTTCCCTGAGCTCATTGCTGTGCACAATATGATAAAAGGTGGGGGAGGGGGGAGACAGGCCAGAAGTTACATCTATATTTAAATGGTGAGTCAGTTCCATGAGTCAGTTACTCAGGAGATACTGGTTGGCACCAGGACCCATTCCAGCCCAGGGAGCCCCACCTCTTGTCACGTGATGACACAGGATACAGAGGTGACAGCTCCCTATTAATTGTCAAGTCCCCCCCACACACACACACCTCTCTAGTGAGTTTGGAGGAGAAGGGGTGATCCCAGGTAGGAATGTCTCAGGGTA